ATCTCATCAACCCTGATTTGGGTGGACGGTGCCTTTAAGAAAATAGAAGCGATTTTGGTTTCTTGGAAGAAGATTATGTGCAACGACGCTTCCACTAAATAGCGAGCGTCGCAGAGTGAAACTGTTGTGCCTGTTGCTCTGCGGCGCCGATTCAGTTTTTGCCTATGAGACAGCCACTTAATCGAGTCTCACGTTCTTATATCAATTTCAGTGGTTGATGTTATCCTTCTTTTTATTTCGATGACTAACAGGCATTAGTCAACGCCGTCTACGTGCTGTCACGTCTTGCTCACTTTTCTCGTTATGGCGCTCGTTCAAGCGTTGATATGTCTTGCATATTAAACTTATCAAGCTCAGTCTTAACACCGCGTCTCTTCTAGTACTTGAATGTGTTAACGGCCATCTGAAGTTTGAATAAGCGGTGTCGCAGTATTGTAACAATGATGGAGAAAGGACAAGTTGTTTCCATGCGACTCTTCGCGAACTGGGAAATGGATCGAGCCAGTTCTAGTGTTGTACAAAGGTTAGTTTAGTCTGTGATTCTATTTACACTCTAATCCATCATTAATATGGCTATAAACTTCAGGGTATGCACTTTGAGCTTGAATCGTATCGTGATACACTCTTTGTCCAGCCAGATCCAATCCATTGTTATAACTGCAAAGTTGGAGGTTAGCGAGCACATCTTTTGTGACGAGCAAGTTTCACCACGTCTTCAAATTTATAATCGTCGTTTAGGGAAACAAGAGGAGCTTGCGAAGCAACGAAATCCGTGTGGCACCCGTTCATGGACGTGTCGATTTAGATCTAGACATCTCTTTCACCATCCAGGTATGCTGCAGAGGGCTAATGTCTCGTAGACGAGCTTACAGTCAAATTTTTGAACGAAACGTTAGTCACGATTGCATCCCAATCTATCCTATTTCTTCACAGTTTTTCGATTAATGCAGTGATTTTTACTACTTTCAATCTATTACTTGTAAATCTTCCATTATCTCCTGTAATCCGTCGATACACATCTTAAAATCTTTGTTTACCTCATTATTATCTTTTGATTTGACGTCACCGTGAGTCTGCTTCTCACGTGCTGGACAGAAGCCCTTCAACAGGTGACACTTGACAGGTTTACGATCAATAATTCAAGGTAGTAATAATCACAGGGACGTATTGCACTTGATAAAAAAGGATTTTATTTACGTGATATGGAGG